GCCGCTGATCACGGGCACTTACACACACCCGGAGGGCACAGCGCTGCACTCCCCGCCGACCACGGGCACCTACACAGACCCAGAGGGCACAGCCCTGCACTCCCCACCCACCACGGGCACCTACACACACCCAGAGGGCACAGCGCTGCACTCCCCACCCACCACGGGCACCTACACACACCCGGAGGGCACAGCACTGCACCCTCCGCTATAGCCTGTGGCTCCCCCACCTCAGCCCAGACAGCCTGTTACTGCCCTGAGTAGTGCGGGAAACTATCACACAGTGGGAAGGACTTGTGTGTCTAAACGTATCTAAATGTAGAAAAGGCATAGTAAAAATAAGGCATGATGATCTCACAGGCCCATTTTTGGGTCTGCAGTCTGTCACGGACACAAACATGACCAAGTAGCACAAGGTCATATTAGGCTTCACTTTAAATTTTCATTGAAAGAATGTTTCAAGGCTTTAAAAATAATGATTAAACGCCAGTGGATTGGATGTCCTCTAAGGCCTTTTTCAGATTTTGACGTCTATGTTTCCTGCAGTCCGACTTCCTTTGCAGTTCCTCCACTTGTCCCAGTCTGGGCCCCCTCCCCTTGTCTTCCTGGAGTCCCTGGGAGTGAGCAGTCCCTAGGACAGACATGCGACCTGCAAGGCCCTGCCAGGGGCTGAATATCTGCAAACCCCCTCTCCCCCTCACCCCCACACACATTCATGAGTATCAGCAAGTGGGGCCTCTGGGAGGTGACTAGAGCCTTCATGTTTTGGATCAATGTCCTTGTGAAAGACCCCATACCCCTTCCACCACATGAGGACATGGGGGAAGTGAGCCCTCACCAGACTGCAAATCTGCTAGCACCTTGGTCTCAGACTTCCTGATCTCCAGAACTGGGGGAATGAATGTTCTTTGTGGACAAGCTCCTCGGCTTATGGCTTTCTACTATAAGAGGCTAAATGGACTCAGACAATTTCAGCATCACTGGAGTTACCTCCAGACCCAGCCACAAAGGAGAACACCTGTGACAACTGGAGACTTGACGCCTCCTCAGCACTATGGCAGGGCCAGACCACATCTGTTGTTGAACAGGAAACCTCCTGGTGAGGTCTATCTGTACCTAAATATAGACAGGGTGACGGGGACTGAGGCTGCACCATGAGGAGAATGGATGTTTTTTTCCAAGAGAGCTTGCCTACACCTCCTGGCCTTGCCCGGCTATGTAGGTCCCCTCCCTCAGAAGAAAACAAGTTTACCTCTCTTCCAGGGGTAGGTGGTGACTGTGTTTTGAATATCAGCCTTGGCATTCACATTCCAGAAGACCGTGGACCCTTTCCTGATTCTTCTCGAGGCCCTTTCCCCAGTAAACTTGCTTTCAAAGGACCCTTCATCAGTCAGTCTTTAGGGACCAATATAACAAATGGCCTGTGGTAATGCTAAGGAATCAGCAAGCTTAACACTGGAGAGGGTGGAATCATTTGAATCCCCTGGGAAGTTTTCAGACACATCTCCCATGGTACCAAAGATTCTGATACAGCTCTCATACCTGCATTCCTAGTCCCTGGGGGGATCCAAGCAGGCTGTACATTTTAAGAAAGAGATTCCAGGAAGTGAGAGAGAGTTTACCTCCAGCAAGAACCAGTAATTTACTGTTTGATCCACATTGCCAGGAAAGACATGTATTTTTTAATGAAAACCACTGAAGCCAAAAAGAAATAATGGTAAATTTCTAAAGCGAGGCTAAAAAGGGATGTTGGATGCTTTTCTGTGGAATGGCCTTCTATACATAGGTCCCCTTCCCAGGGGCTCTCGGTGCTGAGGTGCCCAGCCTGTGTGACGTCTGTGTGATTATTCTCACCATGCAGGCTTACCAAGTAAGCGTCTAAATGTTATAACTTCGTGGACTCAGAAGTAGATGACCTACATGAGGTTTCTGCCTATGTACCTAATTCCTCAATTCTTGCTAAAAGCAAGTATTTAATCCATAAGGAAAAACAAACATCAACTTCGTGGGTTAAAAATGAGTGCTGGAGTCATCCAGTCAGTAGAACCAACTACAAGATTCACAAGCTATGGATTGTTCAAAAATTATATGCTTTCACAGAAAAAAAGTCATAACCGAAGATAGAATGTGATCCCCACTTTGCATCTGTAAGTTAGTGACGTGTCTGAGTGTGGACAGGATGTGTGTGAGAGGGGCGGGGCATGGTGGGGCAGGGCATGGCCCGGTCATGTGGCAAGTATGTGTGCTGTGTGAAAGGCATGTGAATTGCGTGAGAGCTGTGTGTTCACACTTATGCACATGTGTGTATGTGTAAAGTCCTGGGCACTACAGTGGCGCCTAAACTTCCAGAACCTAAAAGTTTGGTATTGAAGCTGCAAAAAGGAACCAAAGGACTTCATTCCTGTGATTCCCGTTCCCCAAGGAAAAGCTCCATGATGTTTAGGAGCAAGGACTTTGCAGTCAGACCTAGTTTTCAATCCAAATCCAACTTACTGATTGGGGGACCTTGGGCAAGTTATTTAAACCTCTTGACATCACTTCCTCATCTGTAGAATATGACATTTCTTGGCATCGAAAACAGGTTGAGTCAGTGTAATGGCGAGAAGACAGCCAATAAATAGCAACTATGAAACTCTAGCCCACTTCTCAAAACTGATCTGAATGGGAGAATATTCTTCGGCAACAAAATTATCTCCAACAAAGCAATTTTTAAATCCATCCACTCTCTATGGCTGCTTTATTTTTAATAGGTTATTTTAGTATGGGGGGAGAGACGTGGGGTAGAGTTCACAAACAATTCTCCATTACTTCTTGGGATCATGAACACAGTGAAAACAGGAAATCCCCAGGAGATGTTCCCGGGGGTCTTCACCCAGCAAGACCTGGGCAAGCATTCTCACCTGTAAGCAGGTAAAGGGCTTGGAGCTTGCCGCCTCGCTGTGCTTCATCCTACCCTCTGACAAAGGTGCTGGGAGGCTGAGAATTGGCCACCATGCCCAGCAGGACATGCAGCCCAGAGCAGTTTGCCTGCAGGGTTGGCCTCTGTACTTCTCTCACCTTTCACACATAAATTAATTGTAATTTTCTACATTATGCAGTTTGGCTGCAACTATTCAAGACTTAGCAAGTAACTACCATTGGAATGATAAAGCAAATATGCAGTATAAGTGTGAGGCCTATGTCACCTTACAAATTATCTAAGTGCTTCTTAGAACAATTACAAAGTAATTTTGAAATATTAATCACAGTCACCCAATGATTTCCTCTCCAACTGCAAGAAAATTCCTGCTATAAGGCCACTCTCCTCATTGCCACTGGTTGGCGCCTGGACCAGTCAGGACTAGGTCTCTCGCCCCCAGGCATATCTAGGTTGGAGACACAGAAAGCTATGCGGTTCTCTCACTCAGGAACAATTGCTCTTAGGTGCCTGAGGGCTATTTACTTTAGCTGAAGGGGGGAGGTGTCTTTGAGGGAGAAGCAGTCTTAGAAGAATCGATCTTAGCAGTCTTTACCAGAGCTTAGCAGTCTTTAACAGAGAGACACCCTGCTGGCATTCTGCAGGTAGGAGAAGGAACAGTGAGAGTAAGCAGGTTCCTGATAGAATGAGCTCATTCTCAACGGCCTTCTCCTCCAGCCTCTTACGGAGCTGATCCCGTGGCTCTTACATCAAGGTGCAGCAGTTGCTGCTGCTGTCCTCTTGAGGGCTCTCTCATAGTTGGTAGGAGAGCTAAGTCCCTCTCATGTCCTTTTCACCAAGGTGTTGAGCTATGCAGGTGTTACTTATAACTCTCACTCCTTGCCATGTGCTAAAAGGACTGCTACAAACAACTAATTCATTTTAATTATATAAGAATATTGCAAAGTTGACTATGTTCTTAAAAATAACAGTAGAATACAGCCCTCATTTTTTTTTTCCTTTTGTAGTTACTATAGCTTTTCCCTGCTAAGTCTATCCCAACTGTGCAATAATAGTGTTGGGATTCCCAGGGCTTCTAACTGCTGGCTTCTCTGTGAGAAGAGACAGTACCCTCTACACAAAGCCTGGCTGCCCCCAGAACCCTCAGGCTCTGTTGGAGAGCTTCTTGGGGTCATCACAGCCGATACCACCAATGCCCTCTAGTATATTCATGGGCAGAGGAAACACGATGGTGGAATTCTTCTCGGTGGCGACCGTGGCTAGCGTCTGCAGGTAGCGCAGCTGCAGGGCGATGGGGGACTCAGCCAGCACCATGGAGGCGGACTTCAGAGATTTGGAAGCATTCATTTCTCCTTCTGCTGCAACAACCTAAAATGAAGGCAATAAAAGAGTCCAGAAATAAGTTTTTGACTGTGGTCAGTGTTCTCCTTTTCTGAGTCGTACTGACACTTCTCCACCCCCCAACCCCCTGCCCGCACACAGCCATGAGTTTCATCTACTTAGTTGCCAGGGATAAGAGTTTCACATTCTAATGTGATTAGGGAAATTCGAGGTGATTGTGGGAAGCGAGGAGAGATGTTTTACAAATTATAAGTCCCTGGATTTCATTTTCAAACAAAAATAAAAGCACTCTCTTTAATTCAAAGGAATACTTGGTGTCTGTCCTACTAATGTTCTTAAAGCACTATAGAGACCCACTACTTTCTGCATTTGCTTTCAGAGAAGGCTGAAATTCAAAGCCTCTCACTGGTTTCTTTTTTTTTGTAGTTTTTTTACTTATCATAGGAGATGTTCTTACTTTATTTAGTTGCCACCTTAGTCTCATTCTCACAAAGTAAGTTGTTCTCTCAGCTCTTGATTACACACAGGAGCGAGTACCAGTCCTAGGAAACTCACTGGAAACCTTATGAGTACTTTACTCTGGTTTCAGTTCTCAGACTGCCCAGGAGCACCCTCAAGGACTCAGCCGGCCCACTGGTGGGCCTTGCTGCACATGTGCTGAAGTGATTTCTCACCTGTCACCACCAAGTCCCTGCCTGGAAGCTGCTGGGGCTGAGCAGATAGACCAGATATGAGTAAGGATGAGGGCAAAGAATCACCTTTATCCGCTCACCCATCGGATTCCCAAAAGGCTGCACAGAGGATTCTGATCTCAGCTGGTTTCCCATACTTCAGGAGACCTGTCCACACAGGCATGAAGCCCATAGATCCAACAGATTTATGAACACTCAGGGCCAGGGGCAGGTGCATTTACATTTGGGGTTCTGTTGAATCACCCCTGCTTTTTTTTTGAGACAGGACCTTGCCCTGTCACCCTGGCTGGAGTGCAGTGGCCTCATTGTGGCTCAGTGTAACTTCAAACTCCTGGGCTCCAGAGATCTTCCTGCCTCAGCCTCCCAAGTAGCTGGCACTGTAGGCACTGGCCCCAACGCCTGGGCATTTTTCTCTGTTTTTGGTAGAGACAGGGTCTCACTCTTGCTCAGGCTGCTCTTAAACTCCTGAGTGCAGATGGTACACCCACCTCGGCCTCCCAGAGTGCTGGGATTACAGCCGTGAGCCACGGAGCCCAGCCTTGCTTATTGTTACCTTTTAATTCAAAAAGGTTCTCAGTGAGAACCTTTGTGAAAAGGTTGTGAAAACTGTGAAAAAGAAACTCTTTCCTTCCAAAAAAATAAAAATAAAATAAGTGAAGGCCCCCATCTCCCATTCAAGCTCTGTCCCTGTCACCCCAGCACCAGCTGGCTCGCCCTCCACGTGAAATCACACACCCCGTACCCGGGCTCTGGCCTCCCGCGTGGCCTCCGCCTCAGCCGCCATGGATCGCTGCAGCTGCTGGGGGATCCGGACATCTTTGATTTCCACTCGGGCCACTCGGATCCCCCACAGCTCAGTGGCATCGTCCAGTAAAGTCTGTTTACAAATCAGAAAAAAGATGATCAGAAGATAGGGTATGTGGTGTAGGTTTTTGACATGTTTTATACTTGCAGGACAAGATAATGTTTTCCTTTTCCTTTTTTTTTTTTTTTTTTTTTTGCATGTAGTAGCATTTGAAGTGAGAGAATTTGGGAAGGGAATAGAAGTTAACATTCTTGTTGCCCACCTTCTGGAACATAAAGTGAATCTCACGAAGAATTCAGGAATAAAATCTGACAGACCTTTTACTAGGGCGTCTACCAACAGGACCTGCCCCCCAGACCATCCCACTGGACAGTGCTTCACACTTGAATCTATGGTTAAACTTCTGCCACACCGTTAAATGATGTTGAGCAAAGGAAAGAAGAGCAAAAGAAAGAAAAGTATATACTTACTGTGCTTTGAACTTATTCCAAAAATAATGTAATTGATGATCTTTAAACATTTTCGTGGCACACCCAAGGTCCTCTCACTGCACCCCGCTGTGCAGCAGCACCCCAGTTATCGCTGTCTTGGGAGGAACCGATTCCCGGCTAGATGTGAGTGTATCCCCTGCATTTGTTGTCAGTGATACTGAGCCTTCAGCAATGCAGGGGTTTCTCAGCTCAAGCTGACTTTTACCCCAGGTTTGATCTTTCCAGCTGAGAATCACTAGGCTCGCTGCTTTAACCTCTCTGGTTCTCAGTTTCCTTACCTATAAAAGTCTTCCCTTCAGATTGTCATGAAATCTGTAGATAATACATGTGTCTCTCAGCGCCTAGCAATGAGTAATCATTGTTATTATTGAGTTCTTTTTTTTTTTTTTTTGAGACAGAGTCAAGTGCTGTGGCATCATCACAGCTCACAGCAACCTCAACCTCAAACATTTGGGCTCAAGCTATCCCCTTACCTCAGCTTCCCAAGTAGCTGGGACTACAGTTGCCCACCACAACACCCGGCTATTGGCAGAGAGGGTCTCGCTCTTGCTCAGGCTAATCTCAAACTCCTGAGCTCAAGCAATCCACCTGCCTCAGCCTCCCAGAGTGCTAACATTACAGGCATGCGCCACCGCACCAGCCTTATTGGGTTCTTTTTGAAATATTATTTATCTTGCTCTGCTTGGTCTCTATCTTATAGCCACTTTTGTTTTTTTTTGAGACAGAGCCTGAAGCTATCCCCCTGAGTAGAGTACCGTGGCATCACAGCTCACAGCAACCTCCAACTCCTGGGCTCAAGCAAGTCTCCTGCCTCTGCCTCCCAAGTAGCTGGGACCACAGGTGCCTGCCACAGTGCCCAGCTATTTTTTGGTTGCAGCCGTCACTGTTGTTTTGGTGGGCCCGGGCTGGATTTGAACCCGCCACCTTAGGTGTATGTGGCTGGTACCTTAGCCACTTGAGCCACAGGCGCCGAGCCAGACACTTTTAACCAAATAGCAATGCATGTTTTTTAGAACAGAAACAGCCTAAAGCCAAAGATATTCTTGTCCTTAGTAAAAATGTGAAACCATTGAGGACACCTGGCTGCTAACCTGGAGAGAAAGGAGACATCTAGAAAGAGTGAGAGCAGAAGGAAGGACAGCCCCCCAAAGGGTTGGAGCACAGAGATTCCTCCTCCCACCCGGCAAGTGACCCCCTGCCTCTCTGTGGCCCCTGCAGGACCTCACAAGGAGGCGCTACCTGGCTGTGGGGGGAGTAAATGGGTTGTCAAACTCAATACAGGGAGTTGCCATGTAGACCCAATACTGCCTCGTAAAAGCTTGGGGCCTTTACCTCAAGGACGAGAGCGGAGAACAGGAAGGACGAAAGTTGAATTTCCTCCCAACTTACAGTAAGGAGGCCAGAATCAAAATGCAGTTGATTCAAGGAAATATGGAAGTGTGGATTGTCCATAAACTAATGTTCAGGAGATGAGACTGATACCTGCTGCATCCTCATCAATATAATTATTATTATAGTCCCCGAGTTACAAACATCCAGCTGACATACAACTTGCACTTACAAATGGGGGCTATCGCAATAAATCCCTGGGTTACAAACATCTGACTGAAGTAGGACTCACACTTTCAAACAGAGGCTATTACAGGTAATAGATAAGTGTACCTATTCCAACTTGCATACGAATTCCACTTAAAAAGAAACCTACAGAGCCTATCTGATTGGTAACCCAGAGACTACCTGTACTATTAATATCATTGTGATATTAGTGATATTAGTGATACTGGTGACATGATGTAAGAATTTCCAGAGATGGCAGGTCCATCATGTCTCAAATCAATTCTCTTCTAACTTTTATACTCCACTTAAATGTAGAAATATACGGTTTGCCAGAGAAATGACTGCACTTCAGAAGTAATGTAAACTAAAAATAAATCTAATCTCTAACTTCTTCAGAAAAGGCTAAAATGTATGATGTTAATTCCTCAGTTTGAATTCCAAAGAAAATGGATGAGAGGCACAATTTCAGCCACTCCCTTCTTCCACCCAGATATTTATTTAAATCTATTCTAGATCAATGAACTCCCAGATGGAAGCTCCCCTCTTTAGAGTAGTTGTCTGTGTGTTTGAGTGTGTGCACATGGGTGCTGCTTTGAGTCGCTGATTTTTTTTTTTTTTTGCACTTTTTGGCCGGGGCCAGGTTTAAACCTACCACCTCCAGTATATGGGGCCAGCGCCCTACTCCTTTGAGCCACAGGCACTGCCCTGTTGCTGATTTCTGATAAGCAATTATTACCACTGATAACAAAATGAATGAGTTAGAGTTGCATGCTATTAATTCTTGGTGTTGTTACCTGGATGCTATGGGCGATCTCTTCTCGTCCAGCTAAAATCTGGGACAAGGTCTGTGTCCCTAAGACATTTCTCAGAGTGGTCTGAGCCAGCAGAAACGTGGCCTGGTGGACTTCACTGACGTTAGCCACTGCCGAGACAGCACTATAGATTCTGTAATAGACGACTCCATCCACCTGAGTGGTCACAGAGTCTCTGGTGAGGATCTGTGGAGCAAGAACAGGGCAGAGACATAGGCTGGTGACTTTCACAGCTATCAACAGAGTGACACCAGCCTGAGCACCTTCCCGCATGGAAGGAGAGCATCAGCTACAGTCGAGCATCAGCTGCAGCCACCTGAAACCCGCCCTGGCCTGAATAGATCATCTTCCTCCACGGGGTGTAGTCCCACCTCCCCTGGAACTCTGTCCTAGAGGAATCTCACATCCCACAGGATTTTCCATGGTGAGTGAAGGCACTTCCACTTTAAAACGTAGTAGCAGAACCTTTCCAGCATCTGACCACCTCGTGTCTTCTACACAGAGGTAGAACACTCGTTTCCCTGATGCCTGTCATCTTTCTGATTTTCAGTTTTTAACAGACTTGGTGGAGCAGTGACGCTTTGGAAACATAGACGACACCAGAGACCATGTTCTGTCTTCCAGGAAGGCAATGCTGACGTACCTTTATAGAGAGGCCCATCCCAGCAATTCAGCCCCTGCCCATAGCCTTAGTCTCATTTGGCAAGAACAGGGGCCACCTGGGGCAGTGTAAGCAGGTCCCTGAGGTGTTCAGTTCAGGCCCCCCTATCCAGTTTAACAATACTCCGTAAGATTGTGATCCCCCATGTACTGGGAAGATGCGGGTTTTATTTTTGGTAATACATCTTTAACCACCAGTACCTCCTGTGGAGGAATGTTGCAAGTAACTGTCCGGAGGTCGACTTTGACAAACACATCTATGCAGGGCAGGACCAGGATCAAACCTACGAGGGAAAAAAATGTGTTTAAAATCTTGCCCTACTGAAAACAGTGACGACAAGCAGTCTCCTAGCTGCGGGGTACATCATTGTCATTGGGCTCTGCATGCTTCTCAGATGATCTTCAATATGAACACATACAACTTTGGGGAAATGGTTTCTTCCTATTTGTCAGTGACTAAAGAAAAGTGGTTGCCTAGGAATTAAAGTCTTTTGGTAGGAAGCTAAAGATTCTTGGTATTTAATTTTTAAATGTTATTTTTAAAACAAGCTAGTCTTATCCAAGTGTCTAATTTGATATTATTTATAGAGGATAGTTTGGAAATGAGTTTTCCAAATAATAAAAGTGCCTAAATACAATATTCAAGTAATAGACTTTTGGCCTTGCGTATCAGTTGCCTGCCAGCATTCTCTGTCATTTTGATATTACTGAAGGACTATTGAATTCCCAAGGTCTCAGGTTCCCCAAGTATTCCCCAAATATTCCCCCAACATATTGCAGAATTCCCGGCTTCTTCGGAGCCATGTTCTAGTTCAAGTACAACAGCATTCCCAATTGCAAAGACTTTTACTTCTCTCTGAATTGAGAAGTACGGGGTTCAGGCTAGGCAGCAGAAGGATGGGTGTAAGATGACTCTCTTGAGCACCCTGAGAATCCTGAACATTCCTCTGGTGAATATTCTTTCTTGACTGCAAGAGTTTCAAAGATCAGAGCCACAAGGCAGGTCAGCAACGTGGGTCACTAATCCCTTTCTGTTTATCAGGAAGGTGTTGTAAGGCCTTGCATTCCCGTTCTTGATTTTGTGGGTGGTGAGGACATTAATCCTATCTGTGCAGGTATATTTCTAAAGAACTGCCAGCAAAACACTTCTGCTCATTCAAAAACATCATCTGTCTCTAATTACTATTCTATTTATTTTCTTTAAAAATAAGAAATGATTGTCTACCTAACACCCCCAAATTTTACTTAGCAATGAATTCTCAAGCATAACTACACTCAGGCCTGTCTGAGGACACTTTATTATGTCTGCAATGCTGGTGGCTTATTTGCTGGTCATCAGTATTGTTCATTTCTTGGAGCTTCTATTTTCCTTCTCTTGATTCTCTCTCTTCTATTATGTAGGCCAATTGGTTAAAGATTTACACCTTGTAAACCCTATGAAGTTTTTTTTGGTTTCTGTTCTTGTTTTTGTTTTGAGATAGTCTTACTTCATTGCCTTAAGTAGAGTGTTGTGGCGTCATAGCTCCCAGCAACCTCAATCCTCTTGCCTCAGCCTCCTGAGTAGCTGGGACTACAGGCACCTGCCACAAGGCTCAGTTATAATTTTAGAAATGGGGTCTCACTCTTTTTCAGGCTTGTCTCAAACTCCTGAGCTCAGATTATCCGCCTGCCTTGGCCTCCCAGAGTGCTGGAATTACAGACATGAGCCACTGCGCCCAGCCTACCTTATGAGTTTTAAACATTTTTCTCTCCTTTTATTCTTTCCAAATGACCAGATATATTAAAAATTAATAAAGTAAACCTTCTTTTACATCAAAACAAAACAACTAAAGGTGTTGTGAGGCCAGGCGCTGGTGGCTCACACCTGTAATCTTGGCACTCTAGGAGGCCGAGGTGAGTGGATCACTTGAGCTCAGGAGTTTGAGACCAGCCTGAGCAAGACAGAGATTCCATCTCTACTAAAAGTAGAAAAACGAGCTGGGCTTTGTGGTGGGTGCCTGTAGTCCCAGCTGCTCAGGAGGCTGAGGCAAGAAGATTGCTTGAGCCAAGAGTCTAAGGTTGCTGTGAGCAATGACACTGCCACAACACTTTACCTAGGGTGACAGAGTAAGATTCTGTCAAAAAAAAAAAGGTATTGTGTTATTGCTTTTGCTTTCAAAACAGAAACAAATTTGGGGGTGAGCACCATGTAAAGGCTGGGAATATCAGTAGAAAATGCTTTAAAGGTGCTTTTTCTTTGGATCTCTACACCTTCCTCTCACTCGTGGTAAGAATTACTGCCCAGTTCACTTTTCTTTTTGGTTCCAAGTCACTGTGGTTAAGATCATGGCCTGTAGAACTGGAGGGGGCTAAGTCCCTGCCTTACCACTTAGTAGCCTTAGGACCTGGGAACTTTTCCGAGCTTCAGTTACCTAACACATATCAGATAGTAATGAATATCAAGCATGATTTAACATGATGTTGAAATAAAGTACTAACCACAGAGCCAGGTGTGTATTTAGTGCTTACAAAGTGCCTGCTCTTGAAGTATTAAAACTTTTATTATTAAAAAAAACCTTTTATTATTAAAGATAATCGGCCACTTGCAAAAGTGGAGAGGTTTTCCCTTAGCAACTTGGCTTGCTTCCCGCTGCTCCTTGTGACGCTGTGAGGTAACTTCTTCACCCCAGAGACACGTATGACGAGAGTTGTTATCCTGGGACTCTTGACAGTTAAATCTTCTGGGAACAAATCATTTAAAAGAGACATGCTTTTCTCTAGAGTCCTGTAAGGCTATTCTGCTTCTCCCGGATCCAACTTAATTTTAACTTATAATCTTTGACCCAACAGATGGAACATAACTGGGAAAGGGTCAACTTTGTTCTGTTTTACCGCGGTTGGATGATGCTAATACTTTTGTTTTGCCCGACTTTTAAGAACATCCATAATAAGTAAATTCTTGCCCTCTTTTTCTTAAGTTTTTCATGAAATTAGACAAGTAAGATGAAAAGCTTTTCCTTTTGAAGTTTCCCATATTCTTTTCATGGAACAGACACCTGGGAGCCTCCCATCGGTCATGGTCCAGAGCACACAGAGCTCTGCAGTGCATAGAAAGTTTCTGCCCCCACAGTTTGTTCAGTTGCAGAGAGAACAGTTTATTCAAATAAACCATAAAAGGAAGGAGAAAGCAAGTGTTATATTGTTTTTCAGGAGCCTTCTAAGACGCTGTTTTTGATAGTACCTCCCTTCAAGAATATTAGAATTAACCACCAAAAAAAAAAAAAAACACCATTTTTGAGCCAAAACAAATGCTAGCAATTTCATGTGGTTCAGCAAAATATACACTAAAAACAGTTCTGAATGTCAAATCAGTATCTAACTTCCAGGCAGTTACATCCCCACCCCCACCCCTTGCCAAAAATAACAACAACAAAAAATCCTTTTATAGCATGATTAACTTGGAATATTGTTCTTTCCAAGGTTGTAGATACTGGATGGAAATTGATACTATGTTGGGTGTTAGAAAGTTTGAAAACTTACCTTTACCTCAAGGTTAAGGTGCAAGGAAATCTTAGGTAACTCATCACACCTGCGTTGGCCTCAGATTCTTCCTTTTCAAAACGAGGAGGTTTAACAGGAGTTGCACCATGGCTCCCAGCTCTGTCTTTATACTAATCTTCTTGCCATGAGAGGCAGTTACCCTCTGCTTTTCCATTATCCTTTCCAAAGAGAATCAAAACCCAGCTCCTGGAATACCTCCCTGAACAATCACCATTTACTCTCTCCACTCTCCCAGTGGCCCTGGTAAGACTCAGTGTTCCTTTGCTTATTTTCTGAACCTCTCAGAGGAAGGGTTAGGAAACAGGTTCACATCTCCAAAAGGTCAAACTGGTGGTCCCTGCCACTGGCTTTCATAATAGGGCACCTTCCTCCTATTGCACAGGAAGGCCAGCCCGCCAGCTCCCAGTAGTTTTTCTTTGACCTCCACAGTCAGCCCCAGGGACAACGTCAGAGGTGGCAATGGTAGGAACAAGTGCTCCTGATCATGGCAGGGCCAGCCAGTGTCCTACCTGGGCCTTTGGCCTTGTCAGCTTGGATGCGTCCCAGTCGGAATACCACAGCGCGTTCGTACTCCTTAACGATCTGAGAGAGCAAGGGAGAGCTTTATTCTTAATGGTTCATCAGTTTACGGGAAGAGCTCAATTTATTTCCCAGGATACTACCTTTAAGCACATCCATATAGAGATGGGGAAGGTAATGATCATCAGCAGGAAAGACAGGGAGAATAGAATCCAGCCACACACGCCAAGTCCCCTGTTGTTAATGCCTGGGCAACGAGAAGGAAGCAGATCTGTGAGCAGTGCAGTTCTCAGAGAAGCCTGCCGGCTGCTGGGAGGAGGCTCAGGCCGCAGGCAAGCCGGACAGGCCCAGGAGGAAGCCCAAATCCGCCCGCACCCGCGAAGGCAGTCACACACACACACACCAAGGGTTACTCAGGCACTCGGGGGTTTAGAAATTAGAGTTGACCTGTCCTGTCCAAGAAGAGTCTCATAGCAATTAACAGGAATAGTTACCACCACTTTCATACAGGGCTGTCACAGGTCATTGTTACACTCAAAACACATGAAACAAGGTTTCTCAAAATGTAGATGTCAGTGAGGGTGTGGGACTTCAAATTAATACAGCCTTTTTGGAAAGAAGTATGGAGACTCCACAAAGAGATAAAAGTAGATCTTTCATTTGATCCCACAATCTAATTACTAGGTATCCACAGTAAAAAAGAAAAATCATTTTACCTCAGGTACATCTGTACTCCATGTATATAGCAGCTCAAATCACAATTGCCAAAACATGGAATCAACCCACATGCCCATCAACTCGTGAATGGATTAATAGTATTCCACTGTATACCAGGGAATACTATTCAGCCATAAAAAGGTAGACTTTTCATAAGTCTTTTTATTTACCCAGATGGAGTTGAAGAACATTCTCCTTAGTAAAGTTATTTCAAAAATGGAAAAACAAGCATATAAACAATGTACTCAATACTAACTTGAAACTAGCAGATAGTTACAGGCTCATACCAGAGGAAAAACACAATAAAATTCAAGAAGCGGAGAGGAAGGAAGGGGGAGGGGTTCAGTAACCCCTCACTGAACAGATGCAAGGTGGGGGTGTCTGGCATACCTCCCAGTGAAGGACTCAAATATAACTGGGACTTTTCCTAATAAAAGCAAACAACGTACCCTAATCATAAATACCCTTATATTAATCCAAAGTTAAAAAAATAAGTAAATAAATACAGCTTTATAAAAGGTGATCTGCACCAGAATCATCAGATTATCAGATTTCTATTCTTACGTGGGTCATTACAAAAGTTTTCAGATACAAAAAAATTAAGAAACATAAAATCCACAGGGACGGAAGCAAGTGAAGCTGTCCCAGCAACACGAGGAACCGGGCAGGGTGAAACTTGCATGACCGAGTCAGGAAGGACGCTGTCCACTGTTTCTTGGAAGTGAAATAATAGACATAACACTGTCTGTCTCAAAACTTTTGTAGTCGGCTCGGCGCCTGTGGCTCAAGCGGCTAAGGCGCCAGCCACATACACCTAAGGTGGCGGGTTCAAATCCCCAGCCCGGACCCGCCAAACAACAATGATGGCTACAACCAAAAAAAAAATGGCCGGGCGTTGTGGCGGGCGCCTGTAGTCCCAGCTACTTGGGAGGCTGGGGCAGGAGACTCGCTTGAGCCCAGGAGTTGGAGGTTGCTGTGAGCTGTGATGCCATGGCACTCTACCCAGGGGGATGGCTTGAGGCTCTGTCTCAAAAAAAAAAAAAAAAAACTTTTGTAGTGACCCATGTATTTTACAGCCAGGTAAGTATTCTGGGGACTTGTCAAACCTTGATATTTGATATTTCTGACTTTTCATCAAATTTTCTATAATATGTTATTATCCAGAAGTATTTTAGCAAAGGCATTTTGGCTTAATGAATATTGCCTCCTCATAATAATATGAGACTGAGTTCAAATCCTATCTAAAATTGTACAGCTTTGATCTCATCAGTTATATAATTTCTCTGTTTGTAAAACATGCATGTCTGGCCAACCCTTTTATTTTAGAATTCTAAATAGTCACCATTTTACCTCCTTTTCAATTCTTGTTGCTTCCTGTTCTCTTGACCTTCACAACCACCCCATTCTCACGCCAGGGACCCCCCACTTGATTCACACTCTTCATTCACAAGTACTGGAACTAATTCCATTTCCTGGGTCTCCCCAGGTCTCCCCACGAATAGCACGTGCTGCCTCAGTCTTGTTAATGCCTTCAGCATCCACTCTGCTGGAAGGTGGAGACTGACCTCTCACTGCCTGTCCTGCCACAGAGGTCACTAAGTGAATGACCCCACCTCAAAGCCAGCCCCAGATATCCAATTCACCACTGCTCATTCTTTGAGAACTGAGTCAAATGTAGGAATATTTAGGAGTGTTCTAAGCTTTTGCAAACGGTGTTATGATGATTTTTTTTTTCTTTTGCAGTTTTTGGCTGGGTCTGGGTTTGAACCTGCCACCTCCGGTATACGGGGCTGGCGCCCTACTCCTTTGAGCCACAGGTGTCACCCTGTATGCTTTTAAATGTATGTTTTTGTGCGATTATGTAGGATAAATTCCTGGCAGTGGACATGGTAGGTCAAAGGGCTTAGTGTTTACAATTTTGATAAATAGTATATACCTGTCCTAGTTTGGACCAACCTCTGCTCTTACAAATAGCATACATGTGCCTGTTTCCACATGTCTTTCCCTTTGTTAGATAATTCCAGTCTCCTTACATTCTTTTTTTTTTTTTTTTTTTTTGAGACAGAGCCTCAAGCTGTCCCCCTGGATAGAGTGCTGTGGCATCACAGCTCACAGCAACCTCCAACTCCTGGGCTCAAGCGAGTCTCCTGCATCTGCCTCCCAAGTAGCTGGGACTACAGGCGCCCACCACAATGCCCGGCTATTTTCTGGTTGCAGCCATCATTGTTGTTTGGCAGGCCCAGACTGGATTTGAACCCGCCAGCTCAGGTGTATGTGGCTGGTGCCTTAGCCACTTGAGCCACAGGCACTGAGCCTCTTTACATTCTGATGGGTGAAAAGTATCTAAGTTTTAGATAGGTATTTAATGTTAAAAACTTTTGAGTTCAAATGTTCTTTCATAGACTGTAAATAAACATAAAAATATATTCTGGACAATAAAGGCTTACCTGAATACATTGTAGTTTAAATTCCCTTGCAAAGCCTCAGTCCACACTGACAGGGGTCAGACCATCATCCTTAAGGACAGACAGCTGGTGCAGTCTCACAGCGTCTGTGGTGTGTTTTCTATATTAGTGATTTTAGTATTAATAACAGCCTGGCTTGGCACCTGTGGCTCAAAGGGCTGTGCCAGCCACATACACCTAAGGTGGCGGGTTCAAATCCAGCCTGGGCCTGCCAAACAACAATGACGGCTGCAACCAAAAAATAGCTGGGCATTGTGGCAGATGCCTGTGGTCCCCACTACTGGGAGGCTGAGGCAGGAGACTCGCTTGAGCCCAGGAGGTGGAGGTTGCTGTGAGCTGTGATGCCACAGCACTCTATGGGGGGGACAGCTGGAGGCTCCTGTCTTAAAAAAAAAAAAAAACAGCCCAACAACTACAGTCCCCAAGTTACAAACATCTGATTTACATACAACTTGCACTTATAAATGGAGGCTGTTATAGGTTATAGGCAAATGTTCCTGCTCCAACTTACATACAAATTCAGCCTAAGAGCACGCTTACAGAACCTATCCTGTTTGTAATCCGGTTACTGCCTGTACACACACTTCAGACCCATTCTTCTGTAATTATATGCCTGTATCTACATTCAGAAAACACTTGGCTTTGATGTGTAGATTTTATTTTGTGATTAGTGGCATCCACCAAGTTTCTTCATTAAGATCTGGCTCACATGTGCCGGTCGCGACGCGCCCACCTGCCTCGTTCTTCTCAGCTGCTGTGCGCTCTTCCTGCCTACACCTGCGTCTCTGCTTACTTACTGCTGTGCTGGTGGTCACCACTGCCAACACTCTGCTTTCCCAAACAAGACTGTCATGACTGCCTGTAAGAGTCTCACTGGGCCAAACGCACTTTCCTAAAGTCTTGATAAAAGTGTGGAGAAGGCAGCCAGTCCCCACCACCTTCTGGGTGCTTCCTCCACCCAGACACCTTGCTATTTGGTATTCAGAAACCTTGGGGTATTCTGGGCTGATTTCAGGGATGCAGCATGCACAGGCAGCTTGGACCCCAACAAGGAACCAGCTCTACTCAACCAGAGCTAAGCCCTGGAGTACGTCTGTACTCCATGTATACAGCTGCTCAATTCACAATTTCTGGGTAGCCACAGCCCTAACACCAGCTTCACAAGCACGTGTCTGTCCCAGAGAAAACTGCCCTGACTTTACTGCACTCCTCCAGAGTTCCAGCAAGCCCTTTCGTGGTTACCGTATGTGTGAAGCTGTCCTCTGTTGGGGACTACACATGCTGAGAGAAGCCAGAGATGACGGTGTGGTTAGTCTTCCAAGACGTGCCAGTCACACTGGGGCTGCTGCTAAAGGAATTGATGGAGCCCGGGGTTCTCGTTAGCCGCCAGTTAAAGGGGCTGTGAGTGCAGTTGTTACCCTCCCTGCAGGCTCCCAGCTCAGCTTCATGAGCACTGCACAACCTGGGGGGGGGGGGGAGAAGATTCACAAAGTGCTGGCAGCTTCCAAGTAAGCAAATCTCTCAGACAGCCTTCCCCTCTCTCCACACCGCCTGTAGTTAGAACCGGGATGCTGTGCTGAGACTGGATTTGAGGATTACAATTTGGACCAAAAGGATACACTGGGATCCTGTTGGAGGATCTCTGGATGTTCCCCACTCTGCCTTCATTTCAACCTACACAGGGCTCAGAGGGGATGATAGACGGGAAAGGGGGTTACATAATTTCTTTGTTAGTCACTGAGTCCTGACCACATCTAATTTCTTGTTTTAACAAAATCCAAAAATATGTATTTTCTGTGGACAATTGTCATAGAGCCATACTCCATTATTCCATGCTCACTTCCGCGTAGAGAACGGGATCTTCCCACCCCCGACAGATGCGCTGGTTTCTCATTCATTCATTTAATAAATATTTTAGTAGTTACATGCCAAGCACTGCGACAGACCTGAGAATACGAGGGAGAATAAGATGGAGAGGTTGCATTCAAGAGTTCAAATCTAGGAGGGAAAGAGACATCAGCGAGATGTGGTAACAGATTAAGTTCTAAGAAGCCGACAGCTGGTG